CTGGCAAGACATGAAGGACATCTTTTCGCGAATGTACTTTGAAAGAAAATCGTCTCTTGAAGAATATGGTCAGCATCCTCCCCGCCATGTACGACACCAAGGCTTTGTGCATCGTCTCTTGGTAAGAACTGATGAAATCCATATCAACTGGGAGTAAAACGTTCCTTTAAACGCGAATCGTCGTTCCTTCAGCTTCTCCAGAGTTGTTTGTGAGGCATACAGYGTGCTAAAGCTATAAAAGGACTCCCTTTAAACGGGGAAACCCCGACTGAAGGCGTCATACCCGATTAAATATCACATAAATTTCCATCATGCAATCTAAAAGAAAGCTTGTTCGTCGATTATATCAAAGCTCAATAATCACATATCGATCCTACCAACTTTATAACATSTTAGACTAAATATCAAGAGAATAAACGCTTACATGGTCGCTCTAGACGAATTTTCAAAACAACCGATTCCCRGAATCGGGGATAAAACAAGTGACGTCATACAACATTCGAAATTCCCCGAAAAAGATCTTGATTAAGTCATTCTTCTGTGAATGTTTTGAATRAATAAAGAATGTATTTTGTCTGTTTCTGCCAGCAGATGTAGATAACCAAGTCAACAATTGAACCTGCTCAACTAGAAAAACAATGGCATCTAGTAATCTGACTTCGATCCTGCAAARCTTTCGTTCTCAGATTCGTTACTTTCAAAGGGATCGATCATGAAATCTTCACAAATAATATGGACAGCTGTCAATCAAAYTTTTGCCATCTGGAATTCAGTAGCGCTGTTTTAACTATGAAAATTMGAAGCGTGCGTCGAGCATGAATCGTGACAAAAGCTTTGAAATGCATGTGTGATTGTTACCACTTGAGAAGTTAGCCTAGAACGATCTAAACAGCGAGTGCTAATACTGAGCCAATCAAAAAGAAGACATGCACGACCAGCATGCACTGAATCAGTAACGGTATATGCAGGGTCGATAATTTCCATTTTTGCATTAATGGACAGGAAGCCCGGTTAAACGAAAGAAAACTGATGAAACAAACAAAAATGGAAGGCTTTATTGATGATCAACTAATACACAATGTAAAGTAGTTATGCATCAGTATATAGTCAAACACCTTTTAAACCGCCCTCAAATCGCAGAGTGCCATTCAAGAGGGCTACATTAAGAATAAAACAGTTAACAAAATGTTTTATACAAATACGTTCTGGTAAATTGTTATAGCTGTTATAGCTCTGAAGGTTATGTGTTCAGTAGCGACTGTAACGATTCCCGTATCCACTATCGTATCTATTGCGATAGCCCCCACCAAAGCGACCACCGCGAAAGCCGCCTCTACCACCTTGACCCCGCTTTGTGTCATTCTTACAGTATTCGCAAGTGTCATGGAAGTACCAAGAAGGAACCTCTTCTTCCTTCCATCCCATCTCATCMGCCGCACAAACAAGGCATTTTCTTTGCCCTGTACCATATTTTCCTAGAAGATGCAAGCATGTGCGCTTACAAATTCGACAAAAGTGGTGCAAGTGAGCCCGTCCACCAGTAATATGACCAGGTAATTTGGGATCAAGATAGTAGTAACACCATACCACGTGAGGAACACCATCAATATCTGATTTTGATTTGCGGATCACGTGGTGGTGTTCGGTACGCAGGATATCAGCAATTTCTTGTCGCAATAACGATGACACTGTCCGAACYTTTTTTTCTGGTGTCTTTTCAACCTCGTCATCTTCGTATCTTCGGTTCTTCTTTGATATGCCGGCCGAGTCTTTGTCATCTTCGTAGCTTCGCTTTTTCTTTGGAATTCTGAATTTGCGGTCAGAGACTTCGGATATATCCCTTTCGCTTTGGTTCAAATTGTGTCTTCTYTCCGGCGATATTTTCACATTTCTTTCTTGAGATGAGCTGCGCGTATCTCTGGATTTTTTTCTTGGACTTCTACTTCTTCTTTTAGAAGAATCCCTGTCTCTCTTCGATTGCGAGTCGGATTCTCTTCGAYTTTCGCGTTCTCGACTTCGRCTCTTCTTATGTTTGTGTTTCTTGTGCTTTGAAGGCGAACTTTTCCTTGACTTTTTCGAGGGAGACTCTCTAGTTCCCTTTTGTTCAGAGTATTCAGTTTGAGCTGCTTCGCGATCTYTGAATTCATCAGTGAAATCGTGTTTAGATCGCTTACTGTTGGATCCAGAGTCGAATCCGTCTCGCTCTCTTACCAATTCGTGTCGATTTGTATCTTTATGATCAGAATCGATCCCGTCATTTCTGTTTGAATGGTGTGCACTAGGTCTATTTCCTCCATCAGATGAAGGAGGTGAGTCTCTACGAGATTTGGTCGCCATTTCGTCGTGTCGGTTGACATAGCCTACTTCCGTGTGACTGCCAATTGCACGATGGCGACCAGCATCAAGTTCATTACCTAAATATGACGCCATGATGGAGAATTTGAAAACCAAGTAAAACCAAGACTACCAAACTACCCGTTAAAATATCTCATCCACGCGTGATTTCGGGGAATTTTTCTCGTGACAACACAGACGACCTATTCCGAGAAGTCGGGACTTTCCCKTGTTTATAGTGCCCAGTCTCTTACGCATTAATGAAAACCACAGGGWCCCCGCGCTAAGAAATTTGTTCGTCTCAGATTTTCAGTGTCTTTCTTCTCAAACTATGATAGATCACTACAACAAATAATGAGAAATACAAGATAGATATTCCGTTTAATACAAATTACTATGGTTTATAAAATATCAATACTCAAATATTGAAAATGATGTATGGAAATATATTAAATAGATTGTTTCATGGGAGATATAGTAGATTTGAGTCCTGGTAGTACAGTGGATCCTACCTACAGCAACATCTGATTTCATTTATTGCCTTATTATCCAAATGATGAATAAATATTGTATATACCATATTGATAATATGAATAATAAATTTGTTGAAAGGTTATAATAATTATGATRATAGTTATTCTAAATATGTTTGTTTCATTGATGACTTATGAACTAGCTGAACAGCCAAAAATCACTAAATCTATGCAAATTAAGACAATAATAATCATCAAAAAAGTATCAATTTTGCCAAAATATTGTATTATTCTATGACTGAGTAAGTTCTTGGTGGTTCAAATGAATTCTCTATTTCTTCAAGAGTTTGTCCTCTTGTTTCAGGTACAAGAAGGAACACAAATAAGGAGGAGAGCAAACAACAGCCTCCATAGAACCAATACAAACCAGAATCGGTCAGGGCATACTGCATATATGGGTAACACCATAGCAACACAAATGCTGATGCAAATGCAGATATTGTTGCAATACTGCCTGAAATGCTRCGAGCACGAAGAGGAAAGATCTCTGAAATGATAATCCATGGAATAGGACCCCATGCAATACTGAAGGCAATGTTGAATATAATGATACAGGTAATAGCAAGCCAGGATATCTCGCAGGCTGGAATAGAGTGACTCAAGTCCCTATGATTTACAGTTGAGTTGCATGCCTCATTGCTCGACARCTGAAAGAACGTCCCAATACCAAAATGACATATTGCCATGACAACTGCCATAGAAACAAGTAATGTCCGGCGCCCAACTCTATAAATAACTCCAGAAGCTAATARATTGACAAGAAGTTGCACTGCAGCTATGCTGATAGAAACTGCTTTACCATCCGAGAATCCTGCACTTGCAAAAATGCTTGCACAGTTCATGATGATAACAATGCCTCCAGATGTCTGTTGGAAAATCATCAAACCAACACCTATTACRAGTGGTCTTGTTATAGATGGTCTGCAGAATTCTTTCCACAGCATGTTCCTGTGCATCGCTGAAAATATTAAAGTGAAGAATTKTAAAAATTCTTGAATACATTCAGCATTTTCATTAATATACAAGTCTTTTTTCAAAACAGTTACAGTTGGATAAAGGCCAATCTTCTATACCAAATTAAACACAAACGACATGAYWAGATATAAGAGATTGAMGTGATTTGAAGCACATGGCAGTAYATGAAACAGGYCTGTTGGTTTATTAAAGACAAACTCACCTATAGATTCCTCTGTTTCACGACACTCAATTTCRGTTATAGAAGACTTTCCTCGYAACCACATGAGTGCTTTCAGGGCTTTACTTCGCTTATTATGCTGTAAGTACCATCTTGGTGTATCGGTCAAGAACATCATTACTGGAATTAAAAGAGCTGGCATAATAATTCCTGGAATTGCAGTGTCACGCCAGTCACAAAACACACCAACAACATATGAGAGAAGGATTCCTAATGTGATTGCAGTCTGGTGCACAGATCCAAGAGTGCCACGTAATTTAGATGATGCAATTTCTGCAACATATACCTGTAAGTAAAAAATAGAGTCTTGACATAACAATGACTTAATACTTGAAGCTGGCATTCAAAGCTGCCAGGCTSRTAGGCTGGGGGRATCGCCCCCACAAGCTTAAAAGGTCTGGTGTTTCTCTTATTGGTCTAYTTTAAAATTCTTTTGTTATGAACTGCWTATTCTAGCAGCCAGTACTGACWCACTATACCTGTGCATTGAGCTARTTTAGTTAAACATTTAATTTAGGTCTGCATTTGTAAGGCAGCCTACGGGCCTGGCWGCTAACAATCAATAAGGATTATTTCATAATAATAAATGATCATTGTATGCAGTGTTGATAATGGTAATGATATTGATTGATGACAGAGTTTGTAGTGGTGTTCATCCTGACAATGTCGTCTTGATAAATTCTTACTAAAGACATTGACTTACTGGATATGAAACGGCAATCATTCCACACCCTACTCCAGTAAGTAGTCTACCCCCATCAAGCATAGCCATATTGACTGCGAATTGTATCATCAGCCATCCAGAAGTAAATGGAATTGTGCTTATCATGATTGTAACCTTTCGTCCACATATTTCTGATAGAACTCCCCCAACAGGGCAGCCAATAATAGCACCAAGAGTTACAAGGGACTGTCAATCAGAAAGGAATTTATGCAAATTAACAAATAATTATAAATGAAACAAATGGTTTTTTTAACTTACCGCAAAAAAAGCTCCTTCGGGTTTATCTAAGTGTACAGAACTGTCGTCTCTTTGTAAATCTAGCAATGCAGGCGACGAATACCCGATACAATAACCAAAACATAGCGAGCCAATACCTGCTAGTAATACTGCTACGATGGACTTGAGATTACTGGATTTTACATGCTCTGGAAGAATACTTGTTGCTTTTCCAGTACCATAACTTTTCTCTCTCTCGGAGACCAGAATAGGTACTTTATATTCATCAAAAATAGAGCTATTTGGGTACTGTTTCTGTTGACCGCTCTCCATTCAAGTAGTAGTACTAGATGTGTCAAAAAGCTGACCTCTTGGCCGTTATAACAATCAAATTCACTAATGTAACTATCTTTTCGTATTTTCTCTATACAAACGACTTTACCTTTCCAATTTTAACGTATTTCCTGCGGGAACGATTTTCATTGATTATGAAATCGTTCTTTCGTGCACGGATTTTGTCGATTGACGCATGTCAATAACGTCACAATGAAGTCATCAGTTTCTCTGTCACGAAATATTCGTTTCAACAGATTTATTTTTGGCTATCATTGATATTAAAAATCTATTATATTGAATTCTCGATTGTTTTTAGTACATTCAATCTAAAAAGTTTGATTGAATTTATTTGTAAATATGATTGATACCGCTCGGGATTTAGTAGTGTTTATTCTGCAAATTTACGGCCCACCACACGCCTTTGTATACTCCCACAAAAGAAAGATTTGTCACGCTATAACTATCTTAGGATTTTATAAACATATATATTCCCTTAATACATATTCCCAAGATTGGAGTATAAGCACTCCAGTATGGGAGCATTTCCTCGCCGATGTGATCGCTGCGAACGAATGAGAAACTTTTCGATGTAGTTTCATGTCTAGATCTACTCGCTATAACGTACCGGAAGTGGCCACGTGCAAGCAATGGACACAATATGACAATTATCATTATGCTAATTTCTATGACCGCCAGCTTAATAATTGAGTTGAAAGGGAGACGAGGAATGGGAGGAAATACAATTGGAAATACGCAGTTTATTTTAACGATAGATTAATAGATCAATATAATGTAATATAATGTAAGTTTATTTCAAAATATTGTGCTGTACGTTGTAACGAACAGTTGATTATTAGAGTTTTGTATTGCACTATGTTTTATAATTAAAAATAAATCTAATAACTGGATGTGGCGATATAAGGTGGGCTATAAGAAGCAGTACGTTCTGCCTTTCTTGGTGTTCTGTATACTTTCTATATATGTAGATTTTACTTTCGCCTACAACATAAAAATAAATTATAACTATTAGAAATAGCGATACACTCAGGGGTGTCAATTAATGTAGGGTCCGATTAGGTGCCCATTAGGGTTCGATTTGGGTCAAAGTAATGGTCAGAAAGACCTGAAGAAACTGAGTAATTTGAAGACTGGAAAAGAGGATAAAAGCGAAGAAAAAAGAACAATAACTTTACCATCCAAAAAACTTCTTCCGTGGTTTCCCAGTCATCATTTGCTCGACAACAAACTGAGCGGCGTCTTTGCGGTTAATTTCCTCCAGAGCGATGGCCAGCTGAGACACGAGTTGATTTCTTCCCAGAGTACTTCTAGAATTCCACAGGCAGAGAAGACGGAATGCCTTTTCCTGGGGTCCCATGTTAAGAGCAAGAATACTTTGCAGCTCGGTGTCGGAAACTCCAAGAAATGAACCCAGTTGAGTCCATTCTTCGTTGGTTAACTTGTACGCTACACGACGTAAGTCTCGATCACTTAAGCCATCTGAATAAAAAAAGATTATTATATTCCTTGCTTCATTGCAATTTTTAAAGCGAGTGACCGCTGCTTTATTTGACAGAAGACTCTCTTTCTCAAAGACTTAAAAAAACTTGTGCTTACAATATCCGTAAGAAAATTCAACTTTTTTTGCTTTCTTTTGTGTTTGGAAAAGTCTGTTGTTTTTATGCGTAGAAGCGGTCACCACGAATTTGAACGAGAAACAGCAGTTCCCTCCTCTTATTYCATTCACCCATCCAGTTGGAGCGTTCTTTTCATCATTCTTTAATGATATATTCATGAATCATTTATTCACATAAATATCTCACTTAATTCTTCACTATTTTTTACCTTTCTTCTTGTTGACTTTTCCCAGTTGACCAGCGGTATCGACTGCGTCAAGAGAGCGACCATCAACTGCATCATCAGAAATCGAACTGGAATCAAGACTAGCTACACTTGTAAGGTCACTACTTTTGCTTGCTGATCGAGAAATTTCAGGATTGCCGATCAACTTTTGATTTGGACTGGAGTTTGATAGTTCATTGAACACTTYCTTCGTCTGTTCATCTGGTTGCTCTCTTCCTGGACGTGAAGCACCACCAAGATCATTTTCAGGGCTTCTCTCTATTTCCTGTTTTTCGAGTTTTTTCTTCATCACTTGAGCTTCTTTTGCACGTTTTTCTAAAAGTGTCTTCATTTGCCGAATCTAAACAGATACAGAATACTGTATAAAGTGATAGAGAAGATCGTATGTTATAGGGGTTGCAAGAAATGCAAAGACCGAAAAATGAATACTCGCAATTTATACAAACATATTATTCGAATAAATTACCATATTCTGTAGTTCAGCTTCTTTCTTTAACCATACTCGCTTTTCTTGGGCAAATTTGTCGCCAAGATCTGCCTGGAGCTCTGAGCATTCCTTTCGGAGTCGCTGTGCCCACTTGTTTTCTACTTCTTCCTGGTCACTTTTGATGCTTTCCTGAARMTGATCCAGTTCGACCTGTAATGGTAAGCGAGGTATATTTCTGCCTGTCTATATGACTGGTGCAATGAGTGAATTGACCGTATTCAATGGTCCAGTAGACATGTGGGAGGCACCGCTTGACATGCTACAAAGACTGAATGGTGTGTGTTTAAATAGAGAGAAGATATAAGAAACAAACCTCTAGTGCAGCAGCTCTATGTTGTGCTTCTCTCAGCTCATCTCTTAAATCATTTATAACACCTTCATCGTCCTCGTGGCCATTTTGAACAGTTCCTTCACCATTCTTAACATTTTTTCTATTCTGAAGATCCTTTAGTTCTTTCTCGTAAAGGGAAATTTTCTTGTCTCTCAAAACAATACCCACACTCATGTCTTCTTTCTGTTTTGATATTTTTTTCATGGACTCCTTCACCATTTYAAGTTCCTGGAGAGTTGTTTGATGAGTTTGTTTCATATTTTCAAGTTCTTTTTCAAGTTCTTGTTTTTCTTTAGTTAGTAGTGAAAGTTCGGTTTCTTTCGATTCTTTTYGAGAATTAACTTCTTGGATGAGTTGATTCAATTTTTCATTTTGCTCATTAAGTTGGTTATTTTCTTTTTTCATTTTTTCAATGTCTTTGTAGTCTTCTTCTTTAATCTTCTCGTGTTTGCTTTCCAATAGTTTAGCTTTCAACTTCGCATTTAGACAATCTATTTCCTAAATGAATTAAATATTAAATTAATGATTGCTATTTGTATCTGGATCGCACCCTGTGTCAAGGGTGTGGTCAGCTGGGAAGAGCAGATTTCGTACCACAGCACGGATAACACACGGGAGGGTGTAACAGAACCTCAGGGCCTTATAAAACATAATTTAGGAAAGATGGCTACAATACAGAACAGTACGAATGTACCGTAGTTTCTGCATGAAAATACAAAATCTGCCCTATYACCCTTCACGTGATCACCACCAAAAGATGAACAATAATCAMAAAGAATCATTTTGAGGAATTATTATGAGGAATGAAGATTCCTCATAAATAATCACAAACTTAATCCTTGTGCTTGGTGCAATAGTATTGCTATTTATCAATACATATTAAACCCTTACACATTGATTTATTAAGGCTAGAAAGACAAGTATAAACTGGTGCAGATCAATAACTAGTGCTATTCGTCATACACAGTGAAGAAACAATGGTGCTTATAACGTTAAATTAAGTCAAGAAGAGTAAAGTGCTGAACAAACCATTAACAAACTAATTAGGTGCTGTTCTCCCAAAAAGTGTGCGTAGTGCTGCTTCCATTGCAAGTGTATTGAGGTGCTGTACAAACCGTTTACAGAAAGTGCCCTTATCTCTTAAGCGTGAATAGTGTAACATCCATTGCAYGTGCAATACCAGTGAACGGCTGGTTAAGAAGTGTTGAGAAAACTTGTTCCATATGGTGCAGTTATCCCATTACGTAGTGCAGCGACCAACACAAGTCAGGTAAATTCTCAAGACAACAAACCTTCTGCAGTTCATAAACTTGTCGATTTCGTCTAACCAGTTCCACCATTACATCTCGTTGCTCTATTTCAAACTCACTGCCCAGCTTAGCCAACATTTCCTGGAATATTCCAGGAAAGTATTGGGGATCAATGTGCTGAAGCTCGTCTGAGAATGATACCTCCTCAGCTTCATCCATAAGAAAAGTCCCTTGGTTATCTGTTCTACCATAATGTTCAGTGAACGAGCTTCGTAGGGTAGCCTCAAAGTTGAAATTCAACTCCAAACGACTCTCGGTGTGTGTGGGTTTTCCTTCAAAGATGTCAATCATGTTTCCTACACGTGATATTATTTCCTGGCTTTGCTCTTTTAAGAGATTGACTTGCTCCGAATCTTCTTTGATCTTTTTCTTTAAGTCATCTTGTTCCAGTCTCAGTTCTTGAAATTCTTCGAAGAAGTTTGTATCCACCCGCATTTCTTGGAACTTCTCTTTGAGTGTTTTGAGCTTTTGGATAACTAGCTCTGTCGAAGAGGTGTCCACTCCTCGACTGTTAGAATTGCRAATTGTTGTTTGTGCCTCAGTGTCCTAGAATTGCAAATAGTAGTAAATTAACAATAGAGGAAACAGGTTAAACAGTTTGGTATAAGTTCAAAATCTTACCTTTTCTCCTTCTGTAGTCATCTGTCGATAGTCTTTATTCAATTTCATCCAGGCCAACCGCAAGGACTGGTTTTCAGAYTTAATCTCGTCATGTTTTCTCAACATCTCCATGATATCCTCCTTTATCTTTTCCCATGTTGCAAACTTCTCGATGCAGACGTCTTGGTCATGTTGACGCATATTTGTAAGTGGCTCAAGAACACAAGTGATAAACCTGTGTTTAATTGCTTGCAAACGACTTTCCAACAACTCAACCTGATTCTTACTATCTTGATCAAGTTTTGAGTGCAATTCTTCAATTTTTCTTTTCTGAGCTTCAATCTCTTCAYTGAGGATTTTATTATTGTCCTTAAGTTTGGCTATTTTCTCATTCAAATCATCTGCCTTTTCTTTCTCTTGCAGTTTCTCCAAATGTTCTTGGAGCTCTCTTCTTCTCTTTTCCAAGTACTCGCTTCTATTCTTTTCATACGTGAGYTCCCCTTCAAGTTCTTCATTTCGGGTTGTCATCATGGAAAGTTGTCTCTTGAAATTTTCTTCAAAATTTAAATCTGTTGTGTTTTGGTTGGATTCTATCCCTATTTGTGCCACATTTTTGAAAGACGGATTGTTGGATTGTTCTTCTGTCTGTACTTCTTCGTCAACTGATACAGGTTTTTCACACAATTGTTGTTCAGCTTTGCCCACCTTTTCAACCTGCAGATGTTCTTCACTGTCTTTTTGGTCAGTTTGAACTCCATTGTAAACGTATGCAGGTCTACTATCATTGACTTCGTCCTCGGTTTGAGCACTATTATCAACTATGAGCTTAGGGAAGACTGTTTGGGTGCCACTGTCAATATGGTGAGGTCTGTAAAAGACGTGTTCCTCTGTTTGCATACCRTTTTCTACAAATGCAAACTTCTGAAAGTCGTGTTTGTCTGTTTGGTCACTGTTGTCAGCAGCATCTTCAACGAGAATTGGTTCGTCAGGAGGCAAATTTTCTGTCTGCACTTCACCATCAACTAAAATAGGTCTYGTGATGGTTCGCTYCTCGGTTTGCACATCGTTATCAATAAGTATGGATCTGTCACCAAGTGTTTTYTGTGCRGTCTGCACGGCATTGTTGACATGAAGAGTCCTTGCTGTCTGCGTCTCATTATCAGCTAGTACAGGTCTTACAAGTACGGATCTATCAATGGTCTTTWTGGCTGTCTGCAYACAACTGTTAATATAGACAGGCCTCTCTGTTTGTGTACTTTTGGATAATGCTGGTCGTTCAGTGGACTGTGCTTCAGTTTGAACACCACTTTCAACAAGGAAGAGTCGCTCAACAGTTTTCTGGGCTGTCTGCACGCCACTGTTAACGTGAAGAGGGCTTTCTGTCTGGACCTCATTATTTACCAGTACAGGTCTTTCAATGGACTGTGCTTCAGTTTGAACACTATTATCAACAACAATGGGTTTATTTTCGGCTAAAGTCTCAAATAACGAGTTTTGCATGGGTTGCTCCGCTTCTAACATTTGTACTTCATCAATTTTAAACAACTCAGTTTTCTCAAGAGTTTGGTCGAAAGGATCTTCCAGCTCCTGGAAGGAATCATCTAGCTTTTCATCATCTAAAGGCATCTTTTCATTCGATAGTTTCCTGATTTTAATCGCCGAAGTTTGGATCTCTTCATCTTTTCTTTTGATTTTCTCATTTTGTTTGGTGACTTCGTCCTTGTAGACACGTAGCGCTTTACGAACTTGCCTCAATTCCTCTTTAAGTTGAACATTCTTTTTTTCMATTTGCCCTAGCATTTGGTAMCCTTCTAGTCTTTCTTTTCGTAGATTTTCAACATCTTTATTTAAACATATATTTTCTTCATTAAGAATATCAAAATCATCAGATTTTCGTTTAAGATCGCCTTTAACTGTGCTCATTTCGATTTTCATGGCATCCAATTTCTCTTCAAATAAAGCMAGTTCATTCTTTATGTCATTAGAACTTTTCAGTTTGCTCTCTTTTTCTTCGCACTGTCGTTTCAGCTCTTGGTACATCGCAAATCCGCTCTTCTTTTCTTTCTCAAAGTCTTCAATTGTTCTCTGGAGTTTTTCCACTTCATCTGTTGCTTCAGATAAATGAACTCTTTGCTCTTCTATGAGTTTGTTATTTGCGATACTTTCTGAAATCAAATCCTTGTTATCCTTCATCAGCGAGGAGAGTCTTTTAYTGTTGACTTCGTCCTGTTCTTTAATGCTTTGAAATTGCTGCTCTTTCGCGATTATATTTTGCTTCTGTTCTCGAATTGTTTGATTCAGCTTCTCAAGGTTAGTCTTTAACCGATCGTTTTCATTTTCAAGATCTTGGATCGAGTTATTACTATCCGTTAAATTCTTGTTAAGGGTATTCAACTGGGTTTGTAGCTTTGCAAATGCGTCACTTTTCTCTTGTAACACTTTTTCTTGTTCATTGATCTTAAGAGTTAAGTTCTTCTTTTCCTGCTGCAACTCTCTGAGCGATGAAGACATTTCATGCACTTCACTTTGAAGWGATTCTTTTTCACTTTGTGACTTAAAGCAATCATCTTCTTTCTGCTGTTGGTTCTTCCTAAGATCACAAAGTTCAAACTCCAATCGTTTATTCTTWGTTCTGAGGTTTTCAAGCACTTTGTATCCTTCTTCCTCTTGTTTCTTAAGTTCCTTTATCTGCGCTTCCAATTTTTTTCTTTCCTTTAAATCTGATTTCAATRTTTCTATCTCATCTTGTCGTCTTTCGAGTACATCTTTTTGGTTCGTGAGCTGTGTTCTTAGGTTTTCAACTTCTTTTTTTAKTCTTCCCAACTCGTCGTCTTTGTTTTGTTTTTCTTTAAGAAGTGAATTCCACTTGACGTTCAACTCTTCTTTCTCTTTTTCTAGTGTTTCGGTTGCTTCCAACAACATTTCCTCTTGCTTTCTAAGAGCTTTAATGTCTTGGAGGTTGTCTTCAATTTGTTTCTTAAAGTCTCCGTTTTGAGAGTCAATGGTWTCAAAGCTCTTCTGTAAATCACAGTTTTCTTTGAAAAGTGTCTCGTAGGAATCTTTCTTCTCTTCGAGTTGATGTTCCAGTGTTTTGACATTTGCTTTGGCAGATTTAAGCTTTTCTTTCACTGTTTGATTTGCTCTCTGCAGCCTCTCATTCTCGCTTTCAGAATTTTTGAGCGCCCTTTTATTAAAGTCAAACTTTGACTCAAGAATTCCAATCTCCTTCTCTGAATCKGATAGTTTCTCTCTCAAATCACCATTGGTTTTGTAAAACATTTTAACTTTATGTTTCAAACTAGCATTTTCTTCTTCGAGTTTTTTCACTGCTTCCGTCATTTTATTATTTTGGTTGTCGATGGATTTTTCAAGCTTTTCCACAGTATTCTGTAAGCTGGTGTTCTCKTCCTCGAGTTGCTCCATTGTTTGCASCTTTTCTTTGCACTGTTGAAACTCTCGCTCAAGTAACAACATTTCACCTTCCTGGTCGTCGATCTTTTCATCTAGTGTTTGCTTCATCGAGCTCAAYTCATTCATTCTCCATTTCAAAACTTTGTTTTCCTCTTCTAAATTGTCCACTTTCAAAACCTTTTCTCTTGATTCTTGGATTGTATTTTGTAGRACTTCAATCTTGTGCTTTGCATCCAGAAGGGCATCACTTTGGTCATGATATTTCTGTTTGACTTTGTTGAYTCTGGCAACAACGAGGTCTTTTTCCTTCAAAGAATCCTCCAGCTTCTCCTCCAACTCYTTGCGAGCAGTTGCTCTCTTTCCAATGGCAGCTTCCAACTCCTCGAAAACACTTGTCTGATCATCAATTTGGTGATTGTTGTTTAGACCCTTGACAATAAAATCGGTCTGCATCTTTACTGTTTTCAATAATCCTTTGTCAAATTTATCTTTGGTTTCGCCTAAAGATCTTAACTGACCAAGACTTTCGAATGTGGCTCGGATTACGGCTTTGACCTCCTCTTCGTTTACGATTKGTCTTTCACCAGTGTTCCGATTATTTTCCGAAGAAGACTCATTTTCTAATTCTTTCAGTCTTTTCTCGAATTTAGTTATCATTTCCTTCTTGCTCTGYTCGTAGCAGTCCAGAGCCTCGTCTAGTTCGTCTTCGTATTGAGCAATTATTTCTGCTTTCTCACTTTTCAAATCACTGATAACCTGTAAATGAACCATGTTACCACGCCAAACATGTAATGAAATATGATTGGATAAGTAAAGAAGCGTGATCAAATGAATACAATTGATTGGATAAAAATGGGATATACACAAAAAATGGGATATGCAAAATATAACTAGAACATGGCGATTATAATTTCAAGCACTATCAATAACAAGTACAGCGTTTTACAATGTTCGCTAGTATGGTCATGAGTATGAAGATGCTTTGAGACATTGAGATAAATAAAGTCAAAATCTYCCTCCTATYTGTGGCAAYGTTAGGTTGCTTATTTTGAATCAGTCTCACATGGCTGAACCYTGCCTTTACTTTCGTAGACAACATTAATGTGTTCTCTTGGCAAGCTCATTWAGTTTTTATTTAGTTGGAGAATAGACAACAATATAAATCACGCATGAAAATGTTTTGACATTAGAAATAGTRTAATTCTTACCCTCTTTTTGTCCTGCAACTCTTCTCTAAAACGTGCATTTTTATCTTCTTCCAGTGCCAATTTCTCCTGTAACAACTCAATTTCTCCCTTAGAGACGGCAATGGTTGACTTATGCGCAAGAATGGTCGATTCTAAGTCGATCAAAGTTGATTTCAAACTTTCTGAATTATTCTCAGAATTAATCTTACTAATCTTTCTCATTTCTTGGATTTTTTGCTTTTCCTTCTCGGAAGATTCCAAGTCGTTTTGAAGATCGGAGATCTGTRTGTCACGGGATTTTAGGTCACGTGATAGCTTCGARCACTTCTCTTCTAAAGAGSTGATATTCTTTTTGAGTTCGTCTCTTTCTCGCCGTAATTTATCTGTATAAAAAGAGACAGAACATCAAAACTAATATCGGCATTTTGATTCATCGCGCGYCATCGACCAAGTTAGATGTATCAGAATACGTAAGGAGACAATWGTTGAGGATTYGGTACAYGTCCTGCAGGTTCGCCAGTAAGTTGACGACAAAAGCGGAGTTCATCAGTACAAYCTTTACTTACCATAATCCCTTGCAAGTATACTGGAACTTTTTAGCTTTTCCATCTCACTGTAGGCTTTGCTTAACTTTGATGCCAGTTCTTCACATGTTTTCTGCGCTTCTTCTTTTTGCTTTTTGAATTTGGTACATTCTTTTTCGATCCCTTGCTTTTCCTCTATCATGGAAGCTATTTTTGAGGTCATTTTGTCTTCGAGCTCTTGGTTTGTTTTTTGATTTTCTTCAGAAATGGAAGCTACTTTTGCTTCGATCTCTTTAYTAGTTCTTCGCTTTAATTTTTCGWAATCCTTTTCTGACCTTTCTAATTTCTTTTTTGTTTCTGATAAATCGTTTTCTCGCTCTTTCAATACCACGTCTAAGTCTTTTATCTTTTTTTCTAAGTTTGCAGTCTGATTGAGCAGTTCTTTGCTTTGGACTAGTTTTCCTTTAGCTTCCGATAATTCATTTTCTCGCTTTTGTAAGTCTTTTTCTAAATCTTTTGTCTTTTTTTCTAAACTACGGACTTGATTACTTAATTCTTTTCTCTTATTTTCTATAATAGAACTCTTTTTTGTTAATTCTGAGACAATATTGTCCTTCTCGAGTCGTAGTTCATTGTATTTGTTCTCAATGCTTTGCTTTTCTGACATCAGTTCTTCAATTTTGGTTGATTTTTCCTTATCATTCTCAGCGTTTTTGTTTTCCAAGTTTTTTTCAACGTGTTTCAGCTCATCAAGCTCCTCTTGAAGGTTCTCAATTGTGCGCACAGTTTCTTTCTTTTCTCTCTCGTACCGATAAAGTTTCTCTTCTAAAAAGTCGTACTGCTCAAGTTTTGTCCTCAAGTTGCTACAACGTTCCTCTAAAGTCTTTTGAAACTTGTTTTTCTCTTCAAGTTTTTCATTCAAATGTTTTGTCTCTGTCTCTAGATTACCTACTTTGATCAACAGATCATTCTTCGATTTGACTTGAGCAGASAAAGTTTCGTTTTCCTTTTTTAATTTAGTTATCTTTTCTCTTAAATTATTCTTGTTGCGTTCGAGTTCCTTCGCCTTGTTTTCCTCTTTTTGAAGCWTTTCTTCAAGTTCTGCCCTTTCGCTTTCGACGTCTCGAAGTTTCAGCATGAAAACTTGTAGAGTTGCTTCCAGTTCTTTTGCATCTACAGACTGCCTTCCATCTTCTTCAGTAAAGACTAAAAGCAGACAAAAAATGTTTACGCTACTCTGTTAATTGAGGCTGATTCCTTCACAAGTGACATTTTCTACATTTTTGGGATGGGAACAATCCCTAAACCAGTGCATTTCCAATCAAGAGAAAGTACAATGTTGATCGCTTACCGTCGTCACTAGAGCTGTGCAACCGTAGGTAAGACTCCACTGATGAGATGCTCTCRGGAATGTCCCCACCATCCAGAAGCCTGGTACTGAGATCGCTCAAGCTGGTAGTCTGTTGAGGCAAAAAGAATAGCGTTTAAACACAGCCATTCGGAAAAACCGTCCGTACCTTTTCCGTTATTCGTCTCTTTATTTGTCAATACTCACGTGCGATAATGTTGGACGGATGGATCTTTCTTTCTCTCCTCGCGCACCAACTGTCTGTTAATTTCAAGGCAAKAGAAAAGTATGAATAGACWAAGTATTTGTACGCCGAGGYAGACGCTCTGGCCGAAGTGTTGAAAAGGAAATGATGATCTCTTTTTTTTCATCAAACATAAAAGAGTTTTCCCTAAACATACCGTAATCCAAGGATGCTTTAAACACTCAGAGGCGCTCATTCGTCCTCTGCAAAGGAATTATGTGTGAAAACGTAAAATATCATGATTTTGAACATCTTGGTCATCATCATAATTATCATATTAAACATTACGATCAAAGTTGCTATCTTCCTTATGATCATTTTTTAAATTCTCTCTGTATTAAAGCTTACGTTTTCTGCTTGACCAAAAGCTTGCTTATGTATTCCTTGGCTTCACCACTGACATCATTRAAYACATCAGTAAACAACCAGCGGCAGTGTGTGATGTTAGCAAATGTGTCGGCCTCGCTCTCGCCTAAAAATGGCGACTTTCCACTTAATCTGGTAAGGTAAATAAAAGACCTTTTATAAACTTACTTTTTCGTTATCTAGTCTTTGGCAACAAAAATAAAAATAGAATAGAATATATATTGAAGAACGGCTACTATAATTGCTCTTATAGGATCACCTATTTATATCACGAACATGGCCGCCTGTTTTATATTTAATTCCAATCAGTATAATTGTACTTACAACATGTAAGAGATAACTCCAACAGCCCTGAAAGTTTAAATAAGAGAAAATAGACCTTGTTAGTAAATACATCAGGTTTCATCTCAATGAGAACAGGGTCCACACGGATGTTGCAGTTTTTGAATCGGCAGGTATTCTTTTACTCAAATCATGTATTCTCCAATCATACTACTGAAGTCACTTACCACATGTCTGTAGCAGGGGTAACACAATCATAGTTGACTATTTCAGGAGCTGTAAAACATATAATACTMATTATTATGAACCAAGATTATCATAGAATATGATTAGTCTAAGACGAAGTTGTACAAGTCATAAAAATATGAACATGACCAAGATTACCTAGATGATATCAGACATATAACATTCAAATYCTATGTCTCTCGTGAATATATACAAAGCACCAAAGATCAGCCTCTTACCGACATATTCTGCTGTACCCTGGGATATTTTGGTTTCAACTTTAGGGTCGTATTTTCTTGTAAGACTGAAGTCAATTAACTTGACTGTATTTCCTCCTTCGCGTTTGAACATGATATTTTCGGGCTGAAAAAAACCGATATCATCAAATCTCTATTACGGATTACCGACCGAGGTGTTTTRATGGTAAATCTCTCACCTTGATATCAAGATGCATGTAGCTGTTCTCGTGTATGTAGTTAACAGCGTTTAAAACTTGCTGCAAGATATTCACACTCTCAGGTTCTGACATCGGCTCGTCGTTGATTCTCTTCAATAAGTCGCCTCCGCGGTTACTGTAAGAAGGTAGAAACAAGTTTTCCAATAAAAAAACAGGTTGTATTTTAACAAAACGGGTTTGCACCGTACTGTTTCACTWATCAGATMAGGTTTCTAACCAGTTAATCTTGTTATGTAGATARAGAAAAGCGGTTTGGTAACTGATACTCACAATTCCAGRACAAGAACAATCTCTCTCGCTCCTTCAAATGCGTCTCTAATTCGRCAAATATTTGGATGACGGAGTGAATTTAAGACATCAATCTCTCGTCTGAATTCTTCTTTYTGACTGGGACGAGTTTTAATCGCCTTTGCAACAAAATGGATGCCTGTCTGGATGTGGACGCACTTGCGAACAATACCAAACCTTCCTCTTCCGATTTCTTCTTCAACGGCGTAAAAATCTTCAATAAACCCGTTTTTGAGCTTGACTTTCTCTTCTTCATACATTTCCTCGTCTGTTTCGTCCTCACTGATATCTTCTTCCTCTTCTTCTTCCTCTTCCACTGGAAAACAACAAAGGTTTTTCCAGTTTCTATCATTCTTTCTTTCATTTTTTCATCAGTTTTTCTTCTCATCCGTTTCTGTACGAATTTCCTTCCATTTTTATTTTTTATTCATTCAAATTCTTTTTGTAYCTCTTACCTTCAACTGTAAAATACCCAGCGCACGTGCCCCTTCCACCGTCATTCTGAGCCACACAGCAGTACTCTCCAGTATCATCGTCCTCTACGCTAGTAATGACAAGCGCATGTTGCCCCTCCCCTTTGTTGATGAACGAGAAGCGTCCACCTTCGACTACATCCACAGCGTTCTTAAACCACTCCAGGTCATAGTCCTCTCCTGCTACTGTGACTTCCATCGTCACAGTATCACCCTCTTGGGCAGCCATGTCGGTCAGCTCTTTAGTAAAGG